CTTAGAGATCATTACCGCTTTTAGATAATTAATTTAATAATTTGTTATTGCATGTATTTATATTCTACCCTTTATGAAATTATAAATACATCTTTATTATATCTACATTTTTTTATTTCTATGATATTTATGATACCTTATGGTATGTGTAACATAATTGATTACTTAACTTTATTTCATATTTTATAATAATATTATACATTACGAATATGTGCAAATATTTATGTATTTTAATCTAACAGCTCGATTACTATCGATTTGGTTAGGGTTGTAGAGTGTGTGAGGTTATGTTTGTTGATTCGGGGCTTGAATTTTGAATTAGTTTGGTTTTCTGATTTTCGAGGTTAAGATAAGTTAGTTTGTTGAATCGTTTGTTATGCTGTTTGGTCGCTAGGAAAATTATCCGTTTGGCTACTGAAAAATAGAAATTCAGCAAGTTCACAGTCAACGTAATTGAAACTGAAACATTTTCTTTTCAAAAAGTATTGATCAAACTTCACTGCCAAAGTTGGGTGGTTAAAGTAGAACTGATAGAATTTTGAAATTGAATTTTCTTGAATTGGACCCTAACCTTTTAGATACAACGCCTGAACTCTGCTCGAAGATTCCAGGAACATGAAGAACAGTGATAGGGCTTCATATGCTTGAATTCTAGGATGGGCACCGGGCGAGTTGATCATTTTTTTGCAGTCTCGACTTCGACCGAAAATACATACCTTATACGATACCCCACTCTACGTCTATGAATTTTAGTTTTTTTTTCTGCTCGACTTGCACTGATTTTCAGGTTAAAACCCTAAGGCCGACACAATCCGAATATATTAATATTTTAAAATAATTAAAATAATAAATTTTATAACAATTCATTTATAATTATTTATTATATTTTAAATTGTTTAAATAATATTTTTTATTATAACTTTTATATTTTTGATAATTAAAAAATATATTTTGACAATATAAAAATAAAAATCCCTAAGATGTTAAATATTATATATATAAAAGAATAAATTATCGAGTCGGATCAAGTCATTTTTTCACCTTAAACCCAATCTCGTCCCATCCTGCCCCGAATCCCGTAATTTCAAGAAAAGAAAAAAACTCATCCATATAAGATCTGATCAGGTCGAACCCTCAAATTCGAATATTTTGACCATCCTATTGAATTCTTTGTCACTTGATTCATTAAATAATGTTCCTAAAACCGTAGCAGACCATCCAGATGATCTCTAAAGCAAATATGAAAACGTACTTCAACCAGGGTAGTTTATGCTAAGTGCAGCATGTTGTGATTTTAACAGATGCCAATGGTAACTATTAACTGCTTACCTATCTATATATTTCATACACATCCCAACTCAATGTATGTAACAACAATGTCATGACAAACTTTTACATAACCATACATCCTAAAAGTGAGTCATTTTTTCTTAAGATGAAGATTCGATCATTGTGTTTACCACCTCCAAGAGCCCTTTTATCTCACTTTGTAGTTTGGATTTAATCTCTGATGTCATCTTTTCATCTGACGTCTCCAGCATCGATGTCAGCATCTCGAGCTTCTGCTTGATGTGGCTAAGCTGCGAATTTCCGGCAGCAGATGACTTGGTCAATCTTTCAGTTCCTTCCTTTGGTAGGGGAGAAGACACTTTGGCACTTGGTATTTCCTTTTGGTTTTGAGCTGATGTAGTCTGGTGAAGTCGAAAGAAACTGACATTAGCAGATCCGAAAGGACTGTCGTTTTGTGAACTGCTAAAGGCTTCTTCAGCATCGGAGGTTCTTAAGAAGACGACACGAGCACAGAAATTATTGTCAAACACATCAGTGTCCTCCATGTCCAAAGTTCCATACCTACTGTATATTCGGATAAGATCATCCTTTTTCGGCAACGAGGATCCGGGGCCGAATGTCACGAAGAGGGAAGCAGTTAAATCATTTCCACCAGCTTCCTTATCGTTTTTCTTCAGAACTGCAGCTGTGGCATTTTGCTTTGATTTAGAATTATATGGCTTTGGTTTGGTTCGATCCATCTTTGTTTCTTCATTCTTTCCAACTTTTTTCTTCTGGGATTTATGTCCAGAGGGAACCTGACCAGCCGCAGATCCATCGTTTCGTAATGACACAATGGGGAAGTCGGGCGATTTTCTCTTTTTATCATGTTGGAGCTGAATATACATTTTGCAGTCAGATCCATCTCGGTAAACTGAGCTCCTGAATACCGATAAAAACTTCACAATAAGTTCGAAAGATCTCTTTTTCCTTTGGTATTGTGGACTAAGAGCTATGGACCTGACTGCAACTAGAACTTCATTTGCAAGAATTTCAAGTTTTGCCAGATCACTAATCCGGTCAGGGTACTGATTTGGTGTGAGAGAACTTGATCCATTCGATGCTTCTTGCTCTGCGTGAACTTCTTCAGATAGTACATTCCTTTCACCAAGATTGCCAGTAGCTTTAGTCATCGACTCTGTGAATCGGGTGTCATTGGAAACATCTATAGATTCATCATCTATGTCCGATTTCCTCAACTTCCCAGTTGAACTTGTGTACGGAGGAGACAAGTACTTGCTTTTCTTCCTTTCTCTCGAAAAAGAGTCATTCCTACCTATCCCAGGACCAACGTTCACTCTCCTTTTAGCCGATACAGTATTGGTATCTTCATTACCTCGATTATCACCATTATTATCGCTTGCTTGTTTAATCTTCGTTTTCCCTCCTCTGGATGAATAACCCTTATCCATTTCTTCATTGGCTCCAACTGCATCAGTTTCAGCATGAGATCCTGAAAGTTCAGTTCCCTTCCCCTTTTTCGGTATGAAACTCGAATTACTACCATCATCACCATTAGCTTTATCATTGCCTTTAGACTTTTTCCTCTGAGACAAGGATGCTCGTTCAGCGGACTTTATTACCTTATGATCCTGAACACCTATATCAGCTTTTAAGATTTCAGCAATGCTTTTCTGTTTCCTACTGTCATGCATCGCATCCTCCGAAATCTCTGGATGCCTTGAGAAAGTCCGACTGCCTTGGCAGATTTCGGACCAGAAGCAGAAGAAATCCATTCTTCTTCTTCTACAACTGGCCTTGCGATTCGAACTCCCATTGCCTCATTACAATCACTCATATCCACCACAAGAGTTTTAACATTTTCTTCAATGTCCGGAATCAATTGCGGTTCATGGTATGTCGGCATTCGACAGTGCCCCATTGATCGATTATAAGCCGAAAGCCAACCCTTCAACACTGCACATTCAAGCAAATTACTCACTGAAACAGCCCGTGAAATTTGTTTCAATTTACCAAGAACTTCTTTCGGCTCCAATAGACCAATCGAAACCTTTTCAATTCCATCTTCAGGCACAAAAACGCCTTCCTTAATCCCGGCATTCTCTGATAGAGGTCGGTTGAGTCTGACACAATTCTCCTTCAGAACGCATGAGCAAGTCATCTTCGACTCCACCAGTCCTCCGATTTCATCAACAGAAGCCCGTACAGCATTGACAAAGTTCTTGGAGCTACTCATCTTAGACATGTCCTCGAAATTCTGTTCAAAAGGCTTCAACTGAGACGGATGGCACCAAGCAAATGAACTATCACCGAAATATGCAACAAGAAGTCTTCCCTTCTGTCGAAGCTTCACAGCATAATTTGAAGCATCAGTTGGATTATAAACCTGGCCCGGCCACCATGGGTGACTTTTAATCTTACCCCATACAAAATAACCAGCAGAAATCTCACCTCCTCCACAATCATCATCATCATCTATTCCGTTCATTATCATCTTACCACCATTGTCTTTCTGATCGAATTTCGCGGTTTCAACATCATCACCACCATTTGGCAATACAATTTCTTTACTTTGATCAACAGCACCCAAAAGAGTGCCGAACCCTTCACCGCTCTCACTTCTTCCATCATTAGCACCAATGTTCCTAGCACTTTCTTTCATCTGTAGCAAAGAAGAAACCCCATTGATTTCAGAATCCTCAAGGCCCTCAACATCTTCCTTTCCATTAATAGAAACCCTAAAACCATTTTCCCATGGCTTTTCTACAGTAAACACAGAAGCTTTAGAACCTTCATTAGCATCTTGGTCGAAAGACTTATCCCCAGAAAGGGTTTTTGTTGGCTTTTCAAAAGCTTCCATGTTTGTTACCCTGACAAGACAAGATTGGTTTTGAAATGAACATAAAAAAAATGGGATTTTTACAACTGAAATATAGGGGAAAAAAATAAGTCAACAAAATAATTAAAAAAAGAAAAAGAAAAACAGTAAACAAAATACCCATAACCAGTGACTCATACTTGAAAAGAAAATCCAAAACAAATAACAAATATACATTTAATATGAGAATAACTCGAACAAATAATTCAAGAATTGAAAACAGATATAAAGAAAATTACCTGAAGACGAAGATGAACAGAAAGGGTTTTTCTTTTTGGATAATTTTGAGGATTGGGGATTTACGACAAAAAAGCTCATGGTCTGGATTTTAAAGACGAAGGTCGTACAGTTGGGAAGTGAGGGAGACCATCTTTTTACGGATGTTTGACACGTGTCATAAAATGTTTGTGTTGAACTAGGCAACCTATACTTATTTTTGTTGCTACTATGGAAATAATTTGTGAGTAATTGATTAGTATGTAAGATCATTAAATCTTACTCTAATTTTTATTTAAATTATAAATTTTTAATTTAATCAAGTTATATTATTTAAATTTTATTATTAATAAACTAAATTATTTATAGAGTTAATTGCATAACATATCTTTCAATTATGACTCATATTATAACGACCTGAGATACGAACTGCTACTAAAGTATTAACTTAAGATCTAGAAATCCAAGTATTAGTGTTAAGGCTTGATGGACTTATAAGTTGGGCTTGCCTTGGGTTTAATCTTGACCTAATTGTTATGAAAGTCCATCACTGTAAAAGTCCATGGATTCTTGGAGGACTTGGGTTGTAATTGAAATGGATTAGATGAAAAATTAGTTTGCCTGGATGTGTGGTTTTTGGACTAATAGCTGAGCACTATTGGAAAAGGAAAAAAAAAAAGAAACTTCCCCCACGCCACTTTTATTTTATTTTTTCTCACTTAGGTTTTGTTTATTCCTCTTCTATTCTCTCTTCCTTTTCCCACCCTTCTACTGTTGAAGCTCAAAATTGTTCAAAACCTCAACTTTTTATCTTTTTCTTGATAGATTAAGTTAAAAGTTATACTTTCTTACTTTGAGCTCCAAACCAAGCTCACCACCTCCTTGAAAGAATGGTGTAAGGTAATGGAGGGTTTTAAAAAAAGGGACACCATAGATAGTCTTAGCTCGTTTTTGTTATTCCCACATGACTTTCATCTTCTCCTAATCATTTTATTGTGTGTTAAAGCTTCCCCTTCTTGTGTTGTTAGCCAAGAAGCAAGGAGGGACTTCCAAAGCTAAGGAGAAGGGGGTTGTCATTGAAGGTTGAGGAAGGAAGTTTCGTTCTTGAAACTTGGAGGTAATACTCAACTTATTTGATGTGCTCCATGTATGTTGTAATGTGGTGCTTGGTTGCTTAATATGTGTATGTTGATTTGGTTATGAAATCTTTAAAGGTTGAAAAAAATAATAAGGATGCTGTAATTGTGGTTTACATGAGATTATAATATTATAAACTAGGTTTATAATTTAGTTAAACTTTGTAAAGAAAGAGATGAAACCTTCTGGTTTTAAAGGATAAAGAAAGAAAGAAAGGAATACGAGCAGTGAAGCAGAAATAAAAGAAACAAACATGGAGATGAGGGTTTAAAGTTTCGATGAGTTTAAGGTTAATATATATATATAAATATTGATAAATGTTAATGGATGAAAAGTGGCCATTGTTTCCCCCTTTCACGTGTAGTTTATATATATATATATATACACATATGAATTGTTTGGTATGAGTTCCACTGTCCAATAGTCGGAGAAGTATCAGGAAAGTCGGACTAATATACGGCTAATATACGACATTATCGGAAACATAATAAGAAACTTAACAAAGTCGATTTAGCTATCGGAAATATTGAGTAATAAAAATGTTGTAGGTGGAAATCATTAAGAAATATTAAAATATTTGACAACCGGAAACTTAGCTTGTCGGTAGGTATTGATACCTTGAAAAGAAGTATCGATACAAAACAATATAACAGGTTGAAGTTTGACAAAACCGGTTTTAATTTGACAAAACCGGTAGAGATACATGAATTGTTGAATTTTGTATCGATATTTTTCTAAGTATATGCATCAAATTATCGATACTTTAGGAATTTAAAAGAATTGCAATAATAACGCCTATAAAGTATCGAGACTTTAGAAACATGTATTGATACATAACAACATAACAGGTTAAAATATGAGAAAACTGGTTTCCATATGACAAAACCAATAAAGAACTACCGGATATGTTGAAAATATCGATACTTTTATAAGTATATGTATTATATTATCGATACTTTAGAAATTTAAAAGAATTGCAATAATAGTGCATGTAAAGTATCGATACTTTATAAACATGTATTGATACATAACAAAATAACATGTTAAAATATGAAAAAATCGGTTTCAATATGACAAATCCAGTAAAGAGCTATCGGATATGTTGAAAATATCGATATTTTTATAAGTATATGTGTCATATTATCGATACATGTTTCTAAATTATCAATACTTTAGAAACATGTATCGATACATGATAATATAATAGGTTAAAATATGACAAAACTAGTTTGAATATGGAAAAACCGGTAAAGCGTTACCGAATATGTTGAAGGTATCGGTACTTTTATAAGTATATGTATCATATTATCGATACTTTTAAAAGAAAAAAATGAAAATGTATCGAAAGTATCGACACCTTACACAAAAGTATCGAGACTTGGGTAATTGTATCGATTAAATATAAATAACATACCCAGTTAAAATATCAAAGGCATAACTACATTTCCTCTGAAAATAGATAGAACACATCCATAGTTTTCGAAATCGAAACGTATTAGTTGCTGCGAAATAGAAGGAAGGCATTTTTAAAGCGTAGTTGTTTGTTTGTTTATGCAGTCAAATCGAAAAGTGTGTTGTCAAAACCCTATTTTTTTATTATTACAATAATCGAAAATAGGGTTTTATAGGTTTAGGGTTTTTGAAGTAAAGAAGCATTTGAGATCGATTACAGGTAGAAAGAGATATTTTAGGTAGAAAATAAATATTGATACTTTTATATAATATTATAGGTAGAAAATAATATTGTATGTTGTATAAATGTATCGATACTTGTACTAGAGAGTATTCACATTCGTTTGAATGAAACCCTAGTTTTTTTTAGTATTATAGTATTTAGAAATAGGGATTAGGGTTTACAAGTTTCAAGATTTCGAAGAAAAGAAGGATTTGGGACCGATTAGTGTTAGAAAGTAATATTATAGGTAGAAAATAAATATTAATATTTGTATATAATATTATAGATAGAAAATGATATTGTATGTTGTATAAATGTACCGATACTTGTAGTAGAGAGTATTCCAATTCCTTTGAAGGAAACCACTTTACTATAAGATTAGTTATCAAGACTTGCATATTGAATAAATTGTATGTAACCTCTATTTGATTTGATTTGCGTTATTTTAATGCTTGAATGTTTGTAAATTGATACATGAAGGAAAAATGAAGTCAACGGATCTTGCAATTGTTGTTCACGAAGATGACATTGAAATGGAATCCGAGGGTATCAACAATGAAGTAAATCGAAAGAAACCAATGGGTGGATATATGTACTTCTAGTAAGTATCAATGTATTTTTGTTATTGTTGTTGAAATGGTTATTGAATTAAAGTATTTAAGAACTTTATATTGATTACAAAATTTAAATGTTGATTGTATGATTGAATGCCAAATGATGATCGAAGCTGGTAACCACAATATCGGTTCGGTATATAAAATGAAATTGACATTGAGTATTATTTAGCGTTAATGTATTGATTAAGAAGCGTTTATGCTTAATTTTAGGTGAAACATGAGGTGTTGGAGAAATGGCAGTCGATAAGTGATGTTGAGAAGGAACCGTACATGACACGGTCCAAAAAGATAGACAATAGTACAAAGTTTGGAGGAAAGTGTTGGGACTGTCGACTCACCCTATGGTG